TACCTCATTGTTTTCTGAGGTTCTTCTGCAATGAGAAATGCACTATTTATGGACTCTATGTACCTGCTTAGAAATGAAATTAAATGAAATAATTTGTGGGTTTTGGTTCTTGCTAATAAAGATAGTACGAACAAGGAAACCCACGGGTATAAAAACCTCATTTGAACTTACATTTTCTTTTCTTTTAAAGAAATAATAAGAAATGATTATTTGCTTTTGATTAACTTGGCTTTTCCCCTAACACATCCTCAAAGAAAAAAATGAACTGAAATCAAGAAACAGAAGGTCCAAGGGAAGGAGTCCAATGGAATGCATCAGTGTATCAGTATGCAGGCTTATTATTCTCCAAAAAAAGCAACAATTAAACCATTCTCCATCGCTCAGACATTAGATATGATCAAACCTACAATCTTTCAGAGCTGAAGTTCATGTCTTATATAAGATTTTCTTTCTCTGTATTATTCCTTCAAAACTTGTGGAAAGTATATTTTTAAATATTTTTTAAAAAGGTATGAAGAGTGTACCAGCCTCTGATCTTTGTGACTCTCCTAAAACAATCCAAGACCCCCAGCTCCAGAATCCTTCCTAAATGGAGGTGATCGAGTTAACTATCCTCCATGACCAGAGGGCACAACCCAGGAAACCTCTGCACAATGGCTTCTTTTATTTTCTATGACTTAAAAATACAAGTCCGCAAATCCTTGCACTATGAAGTAGAAGACAGAGTTGCAAAGCACAGGGAAGGAAGAGGGAAAAAGAGGCATTCCCCCGACCTCTAACAAAGGGAACTTACAGTGGCCAAAAGCCTTTCTAACTTAGTTCTTCCAATTTTCATTCATATATTATCAGTGGGAAGTCATCATTGGCATGTGGGAGGATAAAGATGTATGTTGGAAGCCTTTCACTGTCGTTCCTCACAGAAAGCAGTAAGAAACACCTAATAAGTAGTCATTATCCGAAAATGTAGGACAGAAGATGTCAGGCCCTGGGAACAGAGGGTCAGTTCTGTACCCACCAGTACTTGGTCAGTGGGTTCTGCAACTAGAAATGACAACTCCTCAGTGCTGTCTTAGGGAGGTATGTCCGAGTCTTCCCACACTTGGACTTCAGAAGAACTTTGATATGTAGGAAATATGCAACAAAAAGGACACAGAAGCCAGGGAAATTTTGTTTGATCTCTGCATTAGGAATGTAGGGCCTGCAATGTGCAGGAGGCATGTTTTTTGCGTTGGCCATTTTAGTATTCATGTCTCCTGTACTGCTTTCTAATAAGTTAAGAATGAAACGGGAGACTGCATGCAGGAGTGAGAAATGCAACAAAAGCAGTACTGTAAAACAAAAATGAATGAAAGTGCATTTTAACTTCCCTTTTATTATTAACAGTCAAGAGAACAACAATGCCAATTTTATTGTTATTACTTAACATTTCACACTTACAAAAGGGCTTTATAGTCATTTTTACATGTAATTTTTCAATATTTTTTTCTGAAAGAGACTGGGGAGTTCTGTCACTATTCTTAAGATTAATTTTATAATGTTATAGTAAGTGATTTTTCCAAAGAGGAGGACAAAAATGCAGTCTGTGCCAGCGTGTTACCAAAAGAGTCTTTTTGGTGAGAATAATTGTTCCTTTTGTTGTTTGGGTAGATCAAACCACTGGTTGGCTGACTGTTGAATTTTGCTTTCTATTTTGCATTTTGCTTTCTATTTTGAATTTTGCTTGTAGTTACATGGAACTACATGTTCATTTATCTCCACTTCAGTCAATTTATTATCATTTAAATGTTTATTACTGTAGTGTTTCTAAAGAATACATATTTTATTTGTAGATATTTTAATATCTAATAGAATTATTCCCTTTTGATCTGTCTTATTTATTTATTTATTGTTTATTCTATTACAGTTGTCCCAGTTTTTCCCCCTTTGCCCCTCTCCCCCCATTTTTCTAAAATATAAGTAACACAATAGGATAAGATCTAAGAAAAATTGTGAGTGACCTTCCTTTTAATTCTATAATGTGTGTGGAGAGTATGGCTTCTGCAGGGGAGTGTTTGTGTTCCTGCCTCTTTTTAAAAGGAGCGTGTCTGTGTGACAAGCTGTGAAATACTTGCTCAGGCCAAGTAGGCAAAGGATTCTGAGATTCACAGACTCCAGCTAACATCAGGTTTTTGGGTTTTGCTTGTTAGCCTATTTGTTAGTCTGTATGGAGATGGCCATTCAGTAAATAAGCAGACCCCAGACCAGGAGCTGCCTCCTGGCATGGGTTGTCATCCTCACCTCCCTGCCAATTAGCTCAGCAGCTGTTCTGGGTCAAAAGAACAGCAGCTGGAAGCTCTGCAATCCCTAATGTGGCGTTGCATTTGGGGAGAATTTGGATATTTTCTTATTCCAGTGAGAAACATTTTTTTATTATGATTAGATGGTCCAAATAATGTGGAAATCTTACATTATTTAGTCAATGTACCGAAATAGCATGCTTTAACCTAAAAATTCAGACCAGCCATAGAAATCACCCCAATAAACCATGTGTACTTCTCCAGCAAACCTGGAAACTGTGCCTGCATTCAGGGTCATGGAGTAGTTCAGTGGGTAGTAAACTCTATTTTTTAAAGTACAAGTCTCCATGAAATAAAGAGCATGAGTAGCGTAGACATTTATTTCAAAACTCTGATTCTGCTTGAATATAAAAAAAAGTTCAAGACCTTTAAATATGTTCACATTATACGAAATTTTCTGTACATTATGTGTTTATTTCTTTCCATTTCAAATGTAGTGAATGGAGTCAACAGACACTCATTTACCTCAACTTCTTGGTAGACTATTACATCCAACGTATAAAAACAATGGAAAATAGACTCCTTGCTCTAGAGCAGGGGGTCCAAGTATCGTGTCTGCTGTGGTGTAATTTTTCTCCCCCGTTTGTGGAGCACGTCCATTGTTTGAAGCCTAAGGTGTAAAGAAAGGTCTGTGCAGCCCTTGCACTGCTATTGGTAGTGGTGTTACAATGACAGTGACAGTACCTACAATTTATTAAGTTCATACTAGGTGCTAGATGATTTATAAACACAATTTTGTTTTTATAATACTCAGATTGTGATGAATCAGTAAAGTACCCATGACTCAGGACTTGTGTGACTTGCTTAAGGTCATAGACATGGGTTTGAATCCAGATGTGACTGATTCAAGTTCATGCTTGTTTACTACATCTCTCTAAGCAAAAAGTTCTATCAAGTATTGTAAAGCATTTGAGTAGAGTGACCATATGTGCCAGTCTATAACTGTTGTCCCAGTGTAATTAACAGGTCCCCATGTCATACTCTAAAGTGTCCCAGTTTGTGCAATAAGCTGGATGATTACCCCATCTCAGAACATGGGTCAAAATGAATATAAGACTTTTCTTAAGTATCGTTCATACTACTGTAATTAATCTTTTTGCCTTTAATGAAGGGCTTCAAACAAATAGCACATTGGGCCTGGCCTCACGAATTTGGAAAAACAGACAGATTTCTAAATGAACATCATTTATTGCTTGGGTCTACTGTTATCTGGTCCCTTAGCCTCTCTTTCTCTACCTCTCTTTGGAAATCTTTCATCCTTCCTCTCTCCTTCTCCCTGTGTTCATGTTTCATTGTATATAGGCTTTTTCTACTACTGATCAAGTGTTAAAAAATGAATTCTTTAGTTTTACTTTAGCTTTTGCTTCTGATGAATCTTTACAACACAGCTTGGTCATGCATTCAGATATTTAAGTCACTCTTTTTGTCAAAAAGAGATTAAAATGATTTTAAGGCATCTCTCAGGTATTTTCCTTTTTTTGTTCTCCTTAATCTCGCTGCTACTACTTCACCACTGGTTTACTACAGCCGTAGCAGACAGGTGTCCAGGGAGCTTTCTCATGGCAGTTTCTGGACAATGCTATGGCAGGTTTAGTGGGGGTGAGCCAGCCCCAAAAAGTATTATTTCAAGCACCACCTTGTATGTCTTTGCTCCTCTTCTGCTCTTATGGGCAAACTGTTGTCATGTTTCTACTATTTCAAAGGGCTTTCAGTACAAGGAAAGGAAATGATTTTTAAAAAATTGATAAAATATATAACTACTTAAAAGACACATGCAATAAGAAAGCCTAACTTTCCCTTTTGTCAGTTTTAAGTGTAAGGCTTTGATTTATGGATCAAAATTGCTCATTTATTATTTTATTTATACAGCTCTGGGCAATTTTGACAGTTAGAATTTAGTTTTATTGACCAGGGCAGCCACTGTGCCCACGAGGGGCTGGTGCACACAGCCCACTGCACTCAGGAAACGATGAGTTTTGATTCCATGACTGAATCAGATTGGGAATCATAACCAATATAACAATAAGTTCCAAATCTCAGTGCCCAAGGCGAGAGGTTTGCTGTAAAACACAATCACCCTTTAAGGAGGGAGGGAGGAAGATCTCGGGTGGAAGTTTGCAAGCACAATTTAGTGCAGCTGGGGATGGGCCACAGCTCTATCTGTCCATCCAAACCGTGGAGCAGTAGAGGGAGTGTTTCTCTGAAAACCAAGCTCCCAAGACTAAAAATGAATGAGCAACATGTCTAAAAAGCAAAAGGAATGTTAGTTACTGAGCCAATAAACTGAACAACCAGTTTGATGTAAAAATTTACCAATGCCATTAGCCAACCTCTCACTTCTCGATGAACAAAAAAATAACTAAAGATTTTCTTTTGTAATATCTCGGTCACCCCCCCACCCCTGCTCCACCTCATCACACACAGCACACAAACTCCCGGTGATTTTAGGCCAGTTTTAATTTAGGCCTATTCCACGACCAGCTTGACCACCTTTGCAATGTTGATCTAATCTCTGACTCTAAATCCCTGATGCCATCTGAACAGACCTCCGCAGAGTCACAGATCAATAAAGTGTCTAATTTGATTGGCTATGTTTTCAAATAACTCAGGGCAGCTCTAACGTGCAATAAACAGGTAGGCAAATAAACAAAGGCAGGCACTCACTTGTGAGTATTTTCCACGTCTTCTTTTCATCGTCGTAGTACTGAACCAAATTGCTGGGAAGGCGGTCTGGCCCAGGAGGCAGTCCTCCGACCAATAACAGCATTTTCTTGTTAGAACGAATTCTTCACCCAAAACAAAAGAGCAGATGAATAACCATATTACTGTAGAGCCTTTTCTGTGGCATTGAAATCATAACCATCAAAAGAATGTTCCTTGCTTGCAGATTTCTATATCATTTTTTCCTGTTTCTTCTCCCATTCATGTCTCAACAAATTTTTTTCTGAACCAAGCAGAAAAATGATCAGAAGAGTGGCATATCCCCATACTCATGGAATAATAAGCTCCCTTTATGCAATTTGTTAGAGGTTCATTCTAGAACGACCTTTTTCTTATATTATCCCTTTAAATCATCACTCTTTACAGCTGAGTACACATGAAATGCTCTGGAGTTGTACTAAGGTTAAGCATTAAAGTTGCATGTCAAAAATCGTATTAGTCAAAATCATTATTATAAGCCATTCTCCACTCAAAGAACCTTGAAAAAATTAAGGTTATGCAGAGAGTTTGTGAGCCAACTCTTTAATCAGCCAGGGAACTTCAAATACAAGTTTGGTGCAATTAGTAGCCCAGGGCTAACTGGGGTGGGTTAACCAGTATGATCAGGACCTTTTGTTTGCTTAACTTAGCTGGGACTTCTGCCTTCATCCCCTTCGCGGCTCCCCCTCCCCTCTCCACCCCTGCCTACCACCCCATCCCCGGGCACCACGGGCGACCCAGCAGCACCGATTGGTAAAAATGAGACTGCGAGGTTGTTTTGAGCCTCCCCAGAGTGGAGCCCTGCCAATGCTTGCCACCGATCCAGCGGCATGAACCTGCTCAACTGTGCAAAGTCACTCTAATTCCCTCCCTCTGTTTTTCTACCTTCTCCCCCAGGGGGCAACCACTGAAAGGAGTGACTACCCACCCATCAAGAACTGGCAATTCACTGCTATTAACCGTGACTGTGATTCCCAGTCTGCCTGGCAGTTCCTGAGAACAGGCCTGCACCATCTCATATGCAGTAAAAGCTATAGGATGCACCCTGGCCGGCAGACTCGGCCTGATGGATGTACATCCTCAGGAACAGCAATGGATTGAGCACACTTGTGATTGGAGCAGGGAGGGGAGGCCCAGACCCCTACAAGGGGCCTGCTGATTTAACTGTCTCTTTACATGTAATTGAACTTTTCATTTACTTGAAAGGCTGAAGGTGGTGGTGAAAGAAACAGAACAAGCATGATTGAAGGAAAAAGTCAATAAATACAAAAGGGTTCCTCTTAAATATGATCACAACCTACAGTGTGGCTCTGAGTCTATTATTACGTATTCAGCTGTATTCAGCCGTCGTTCAGATTCAAGGACGCTTGGCAAAGTATGCCCTTGTGGAGAAGCACTGTTTGTTGGTTAAGAACCTAACGTTGGGCGAATTAACTTAATACAGTTAACAGCATTTCCATGTGAAGGAAGGGAACGAGAGAATTCCTTTAATGAAACTCTGGTACCATTGACTGCATTGTGTATGCCTCAGTAGGAAAAATGCCTTCTGAAGAAACTCCAGATAGGGACTCATTGATAGGAAGAACCACACTTACAGAAGAATGCCTAATGTGGTATCAGCATGCAATGTTAATTTTGCCACAAACAAAAAACTCAACTTCTCTGCATTTAAAGTACTTTGAATTTGTACCCTTGCAGACCAGTAGCTGGGAAATAAGAACAGAATTCAATAGCAAAGAGCTCCATATGTTGAGGCTTTCAGTGATTGGGGTGGTTTGTTGAGAGGGGTTAAGGAAACTCAGGGCGGGAAGGACCTCTTTTTTATGTTGAAGAGATACATATAAAATTGATGTGTCATGCAATCTAAATGCATGCTTACAGAACTAATATACGATTATTTTTTAATACTATAGTGTTAGCCCAGATAATCAATCACTCTGTGAGTATAAGAGAAATCAAGATGAGAAAAAAATGTTTTTAGGTTGCTGTCAGTTACCTCCTGTAGACAGACTGTTCAACTGGAAGTCACGATTCTGTGGCTGTCGTGACATGACACATTGATGTGCTGCCAGAATGCAGATATGGGCAGAGCGACCAATATCTGCTGGTTAGACAGAGAGGAGAGGGCTCATTCCAGTGCGGGTGTCGCTAAAGCAATATAATGAAATCTTTACCACTTAAATACATATACTGTTTTTAAAATGCACTATAGGAGTGACAAAGGGACATAACTGCATGACTCAAATATGTCTGTAAGGTTGTTTTATTAATTGATAAAGGCAGCTTCCCTGGACCAATCACTGGTGATTTTCAACATTGACCTAAATGGACCATCTCTGCAGATGAAGAGAAAATCTAGAATCTCTGTCTGCTCTGCCCAAAGAGCCAGTCATTACCATCTGTCCCCTAAGAACTGGACTGAGACTATCAACATGTAAGCCACAGAACAGCTGGCAAATGGTGACTTCTACCCTGCCAACAATGACATGATTCAAAGGATTAGCTAGCATCGCAGCAATGGAAGCTCTCCACAAACTGAGATAAATCTCTGCACCATCCAGGCCTCGTCAGGGATTGTGGTGAGGAATTACACGGAAGTAAGGAAACCCCAACTACCCTTATTGGCTGTGTGTTGTCTGAGAAGGAGCACTGCTTCAAGTTCATTATGTATGGGCCTTCTTAGTGAGGGAAGACACATTCTAATCATTTTGCATGTTTTATGTCATTATTCTTTCAATTTGTTATAGTATTTCATTTAGAGTATTTTTGGTTCTACAGCTTGCTACACAATTTCCCAACCCAGTATTGACGCTATTTAACTCTCAATGAAGTTTAAAACTCTACTGTGTGAAGGTGAATCACATAGAAACCAAAAATAGGATAATACATGTGAGAAGTAGCATAGTACAGAAGAAAGAACACGTAAAATAACAAAATGCATTAGAGTGTTTTTCTCACCATTTCCTCTGTTGACTCTCGACAAAGCCCTATGTGGTAGGTGTAATAGCTCCGCCCGACAGACTGGGAGATGGTTCCTACCGTCGAACAAGTGGCAGAAAATGTTCGGACACAGGCCTTCTGTTTTATCAGGCTAGGGTCTTTTTTGAATACAAATTTAATCTTTAATATTTCTTTTGCTATAACTTCTAATTTAGACCCAGATGTACTGGATTCTAGGGTTAATTACTATGAAGTGAAAAGGAAAGTTCTGTGTAAGCTCTAAGGTAAATTATTATTATTCAGTCTTTAGATATTGACAGTATAAAGAGGGCTTTATTTCAACACACCAAATCTCATTAAATAACTAAAAAAAGAAAAGTAATATTTTTCACAGAAATTCTTGCTGAGTTTACGGATATAAATGCAAGCTAATTAAATGGACTTCACTACCTAATTGTTATCTTATGATTTTGTTCTTGGAACATTATTACTTTAATTTATTGTCTACCTTTTCAGCCTTGTTATGAGAAAGTATATATTTGGACATTACATAAAACTATGAACCTTTCTGGATCTGTAAAGGGACCTAATAAAGATTACTTTACATTTCTTAAGAACAAAACAAGTGAGAAAAACCATTACACATTTTACTTCGATATAAATGCAATGTCAACTATTCAGCTACTCCTAGAAAGTAATAGTGTGAAAAATTCTTGTAGAAAAGCTTCTATTCCTTTTACAATGTGCAATTATAACAGTGACAATTACAATAATGACAGGTAATAATGATATGTATTGGATATTGAGAACTCTGACTATTATCCTATTGTTAGGTATATGCGAACTTCAATTTGAAAACACCATGAAAAAAGAGACCTTGTGAACTAGGAAAATAAAATTAGGAGAATTAACCTGCTAAAGTGGATTTCAATGATTCTTTTCTAAATAATTCCAGCCGAGCCTTACAGGTTTAATTTTAGATTAGGCAAAATCTACGAACATGCCTCTATTGCATAATTAGAGTTCCTTTGTATAGCAACATGCCTTACTTTTCAAAAGCTCTTCACATAGGGAAACAATTTAGCCAAAATTTGCATGTTGTCTTCGGATATGTTAATATTTTAAAAATACTTCTTTTTACTTATCATCTTAGCACCTCCTTGACTAAAGTGATGCATTTACAAGGTGAGGAATTAGAGAAATTGAAACGAAGCTGAGTATGTCATGATTAAAAATAGTATTTGGATGCCTTTGATTTGAGTTCCTAGATTCCTGCACAGAAAAACATGAGGTTAAAAAGGAGATGGGATCTGAAGGTTTCCTTTGTTCCATCTCAGTAATTGCCCAACATTTGCCATGTGTCACATTTGTGTGTGTGTGTGCACGTGTGTGTGTGTGTGCCCATGCGCATAGGTACTTTGGTTCCCGGGATGAATGATTGAAGGATGACCTAAAACCTCCTGGTGTAAACAAATTTTTCATCATACTGGTTTCCTAAGGTACGGTAAAGTCTCATTTATTTTTATTTCAGTGATTTGGAACTTTAATACATGGGAAACAGGCCAGATAAAGTTTTTCTTTCCATGATGCATAAAGTTATCATTAGATGGAAAGAAAAGTTTTTGTCCTGGCTGGTATGTATGGCTCAGTGGATTGAATGCTGTCCTAAAAACCCAAAGGCCACCGGTTCGATTCTTGGTCTAGGGCACATGCCTGGGTTGTGGGCCAGGTCCCCAACTGGGGGACGTGTGGGAGGCAACCACACATTGATATTTCTCTTCCTCTCTTTGTCTCTCCCCTCTCCTCTCTAAAACAAACAAACAAATTAAAAAGAAAAGTTTTAACCTATTTAAGAAATCAGGTAGCCTGCTGGCAGTTTAGACCTACCAATGTACATTTAGACTAAATTTACTTTACAAATTATAGTTAATTCTTGTTTATTTCTTAAGGAAAATATTCTGTAATTTTCTAAGCATCACTGAATCAGAGAGCTAGAAGAGAACTTTGACGTAATCTAGTTCAGTGATTTCTAAGTTTGGCAAGTCAACGGGATCACTGAGAGGATTACAAAATTTAGATTCTTGACATAGCTTCTCTAACTTCCTAGAGATAGTGACTCAGTGGGATGGGGCCTTAAAAAACAATA